ATGGAAAACATCTGTGAGGCATGCACTTAGAAACTAGATTTTAGTAGATGTAGTCTTTCCAGCATTAACTTCTCTTGACTTCACTGCTAAGCTGACTCTACACATCAAAGAACTTTCCTTTTAATCCCTAGAGATAAGAACTTCAAATGCAGTTTCTTGCGTTAAACTGTGACAAAAGAAATTTGTAAATTCTAAAAATCATGTATGGCCAAGCATTTCCTTAACACTGTATAATCAAATCATAAAACTTCAAGACATTCAAAACATAAATACTCACCATGATACAGTGCTGAGTGAGGATCACATATGGACTTCTTATACTGCATAAGTTGAGTAATGTGATTATGCATTTTGCTCGTGTTATTGGTACATTGGTGATAGTTGTTACCTGCATTATTTGAATCACATTCCTACCTTTCATGAATATAAGTGGAATGTTTCCTACCCTCCTAGTTTTATAATATGCAGTGCTATCCCATATGAAATTTTCATCCTTTTTAATAAGAGCAATTTAATTTGGTCAATTCAGACCAAAAAAATAATTTACAAATATTTCTCATTTTTAACAACTTCTCATACATCCTGCCTGGGAGACCCCAAGCTAAAATGCATCTGTTTTTGCTTTTAGTCAGTGTGAAAAGATAATTCCTTCAGCACCATTGAAATAAAAGCCTAATTTTCTTCTATTATGCAAACATCTTTAATCTTTACCTTTCTTAAAGTCTAGTGACATGCCTGTAGAGATTGTAGAATTTTCACTACTCACAAGACTTATACTTATCCCATTCTTGTTTTCTTAATTTTGTCTATGGTGTGATAGCATTTAGGTCTTTACTCTTATTTTCATAGCTTTATAGCTTTTCTAGCAAAGTTATGGGCTTTTAGAGTATTAGAGTATTGATGCTTCAAATTCAGTGCCCTCTTGAAAGGGCTTCCATATGGCATGGTCTTATAGTGTTAAAAATTGAACACTATGGGATTAGCCCTTTCATTGTGGAATTGCTTATTACTGAAAACCTGTTTGTGCTGCGTGACAGGTGAGCTCAGTCTTATACTTGATTTTGATTTCTTTAGGCAAAAGGCGCTGAAGGCATTGAATGATAGACTGGGGAAGGGTGAATCCCCTAGCCCATGGCCAACCCTAACTGGAGAAGAGGAGGAGGAGAGACTGTTGAACGATGAAAAAGATGAGAATCATGTAGAGACTGTCCTTGTCCATTCTCCTCCTAGTCCTGTTGAGGAGAGCAAACCACAAGTCCTGTGAACAACTCAGTCACTCGCTCTATTTATTACTTGTTCTACTGCAACTTCTGCTTTTCAGAGCCATAGCTTCCTTGAAATTGTTTTGAAGGATGTTTCTGCATGACTAAGTGTCTGACCCACTGAAATCATTAATAAAGATCATCTTGTTTCCTGACTGTTCTTTCCTTATTGGATCCTTGTGGAAATAGAGAATTTGCCAAAGAGAATGTTGTTCCAAGATAGAGATTGAGAAAAGTGGTATATCCTTGTAATTGCAAATAAGAAAAGAGCCATTCTCTAACCATACATTTAATATGGGTGGATAATGACAAGAATGAAATCTTCATGAAATACAACCCAAGACAGTTTTCTTGCAACACTGAGGTGAATTTTCAGTACTTTGAGTTTATTACTTAATGATACCCTATTCTAAAGTGGATGGAAAAAAATACCCTCAAATTTTAGTCAGTAAGTCTCTGCCCTTTTCCCTTACAGCTGTTATGCTTTTGAAATTTCATGATTAATTGTGCAAAGTTATGGGCAATTATGATGTTCAAAATAAGTTGGATGGTGAAAACAGAAAAGCTTGAGCTAGTGGTACTTGAGAGCATAGGTGCTGAACCCAGGGGGGCAAAAGGGCACATGCCCTCCTAACTACATTATTGAGGGGGCAACGCCCCCCCAAGAATGGCCAAATTTCAACGAAAGTATGGCACATGGAAAATTGAAAACAAAATGCTACTTCACAAAAGAAATGAAAAATATGATTTTCCTTTCTGTTTAGAGCTCCAACTGGGGGAGATCCCTGTGTTCCATGAGGGTATGGGGTGAAAGGGCCATGCCCAGCACCCCCCTGCTGGTCACTCTGCTACCATAATAATACTGAGCTTCCCCAATGGATCCTGGAATGATTCTGTCGATGTCATTTCAGAGGCATTAGGAACTTGCCCCCAAAATTTTTTAGAAGTTGGTACCTATGACTGAGAGGGCAGGGGGGGGCAAAACATAGGGCCAATGAAAAATTTAAATCTTGATGCCTTCCCTTATTGTAGAATGAAAATGAAATTTCATGTGTATATGGCAAACACTTCATATTTCATATGGGATAAATTTTATTAACATGCACCTATTGATCCAAGTGCAATATGGTGCTGCCAATCTGAGATTATTGAAGCTTCTAGCATTTTCTGAGAAAAATAATAGACTGATGGTGCTAAAAAAAACTTTACTAAGCACTACATGACAATACAACTCAGTACTACATGATCAGTATGCCTCAATCTTGTCAGTCATTCTTGCCAATGCAATTCTGAACCCTATTCAAGATTGCATGGTTCACCTTGTCCATCAGTCATGGAAATCTCGGATCATTGCAGATACTAATGTACATATGCCAAATTCCCATCATGAGGGCTGTAACAGGAACAAATGGACCATACTCCTTATTCTTCAGGTGTCCCCAAAGAAAAAGTCCACCAGGGTCAGGTTTGGCAATTGATAGACCAAAGTCCAAGGAATGGTCATGTGTCTTCTTGGCACAGCAAAGCTTGGTAACAACAAGATAGGGCTATCCCCATACAGCACTGGTCATCTGTCAAGTTCTGCAGCATCAGCTCTTGAATCAATGATTGGATTTGGATTGGTTAGTTTTGGAGCAAATAACTAGGACATTTTCCCACCACTTTTTCTATTGAACAGGCATAGCTAAAGATGGAGCTCACAGAAAATTTCAAATATTTACTCATATATTCAGAAACTGATTTTTCAATTTAAAAAATCATCAACCGAATATATTGAATAACAGGCCAATGTTCACACATGGAGAGCCCCTAAAACTTGGCCTTTGTCCCAATTATATCCATTCATTCCTGCAGCATGTGGGCATATTTTACCCTTTACCCAAAAAATAGAAAGAAATTTTCCTTTTTCGGTCAAAATTCCATTTCACAAAAAAATATAAAATATCAGGTCACAACTTTTCTTTTTGATCCAGCTTGCCTGAACTACAACCTATTTGAACAAATGATGCATCACCAAAGAGCCCTTTTCAAGAGCTATTAACACGTTGGCGACAATGCGTCCTGATGCCAGGATGCAGGTTTTTTTTCAATGAATACCCTCTGGAACTGTTGAGAACGTTCCANTTGGCGACAATGCGTCCTGATGCCAGGATGCAGGTTTTTTTTCAATGAATACCCTCTGGAACTGTTGAGAACGTTCCAGAAGATTATGATTTCATAATTACTGATAAAAATTCCAAAAAATTCAACATTTTAAAAAAACTCGCCAAAAAAAAATGTTTTCTGGGACCATGCGTCCTGATGGCAGGACACATTTTTTGACAAAGAAAATGCGCATGGTCCCACGCGGCGGACAAGCAAAAATAGGCTGGTCGTCAACGTGTTAAGCAGTAACAAATAAAACAAGTTTTGTTCAATGGTAACTGCAAGAGCATATCTCAAAAGATATGATCCTTATAATGATCATACACCATGAACGGGTTAAGTTTTGAAAAATGTGCACTAAGGAATGAAAAGTGTTCTTGCAATAATATATCTCTTCTAGTGCATGGTGTTCATTACAGTCTTCTGAAACTTTTGTCTCAATATCTAAATGCCAACTTTACCAATTGATACAACCACACACATCATTTCTCAGCTTTTAAAATATGAAAAGATCATAAGATGTCTCCTTCCATTTTGGTTCAAGTTGAGCCTAAGGGTGGTGAGAGATTCCAAAATAAAATATTTGTAATTTCAAATTATCATGCCAGGAATGAATCCCAATCTTATGTTTTCCCAGCACTAGGAAAAGGTGGGTTTACTTTTCTCACTGTTTTTTCAATGATACTGCTAAAACTGTCTTAACAGGCTTTTAACAGCCTACAGAAAAAGGTACACTGGAAGTTGCCTGATTTTTCGTCATCTTCTGAACAGCCTTAGATGGGTATTTGATGGGAAGGGCATGGAAAACACTTCATAAAGTTGTAGAGTAAAAGTTGGACTCTCAATAATCCAATCAATGTGCCAACTACACAAATGTTTAAAGTTATTGCTTTGTAGGTGGTGGTGACATGATTGTGATCAAAATATAGCCTTAGCAACTAGCACTATTATAACAAATAATATATAAATAAATAACAAAAGGCAACACAGAGGAGATTCAAAATTCATGCTCATCCCAATCATCTGGACACACCTCTAGGGAAGAGGATTTGCTTTTCAGGGATCTATATTCAACTGTTCATGCACAAGTAAAATTAGAAATATTTACAATACCCAAACGGGACCAATAACATAAAGGCATCTTTTGGAATAGCTATATTTTATTCTAATTATGCAATATCTATTATAATTTTCTTATCCTATCATGCAATAATACATTGTAGTACAGTGCGAATCAATGAAATCCTCAGTGAAAATTGAGATGTAAGGTGTTCGCTGACCTTTTTAATTGACACACCTTGCATACCATACAATGTACTGGTATATATTTTGATGGTGACTTGGTGGAGAATTCAACCCCTCCAAAACCAGATAAAAATAGTCTCTCTTGGCCTTATGAAGCATATGTTGAATTTCTGTCAATACAGCCTTGAAACTGTTTCAAGCAAGAGAACTTACACCTGCAATTCATCTGCATTGTCACACTTTCATTTTCAGACTGGACTTCATGCCTGGAAATTTACATGGATTTTTAAAGTTGCTAAATGTCCTTTCAGTCCATGGTGATAAAAAAAAAAAAAACAACTCTCTTTTTGGTCCAATAACTTTCAGTATATTGGAATCAAAACATGCCTTTAGCATCCAAGAACAGCAGATTGATATACATTGGCACCAAAAGACACCAACACAGTCAACTGACTCTGGGATCAAGCTTCCTTCCTGTGTGGGATGAATGCAATAGCTGAAATCAGAATTTCATTTACACTGATGTTCTTTCAAGTTCAATGCCTCTGGCACTACATGTACAAAAAAATATGAGAATAAACCAATATCCTCAGTAATACTGGGAGTGAGTACTAGTCCTGGGAGGTTGAACCAAGTGCTGCGCTTGTGTGGGAGGAGGCCACATGGGAGGAGTGGAATAAGTGCCATGGGGAGGTGGTGGATATGACATGGATGGAGGAGGAGGAGGATACTGTGTTGGTGCATAAGTGCTGGGTGCTAGTGTGTACTGAGGATATGGAGCAGGGGGAACCGGTGTTGGCTTGCTATATGGGTGGTGATACGTTGTCACATCTTGAACCGGAGTGGAATCCTGAATTGGTACAGTAATCAAGTTACTCGTCCGAGATGTGAGAACCGGGATGGGAGATGGTTGTTGTGGGCTTGGATAATGATGCATAGGGTGATGGTAGGCAGTAGGTGGTGGTGCATTTCGTGGGTCCATTCGGGGTGCAGTTGCAGTAACAGCAGCAGCAGCAGCTGATGTCATATCAGCTGGTGATGGCTTTGACTCTGTCTTGGAAAGTGATGAAGGCTGAGGAGGGGGGCGAGAAGTTGAGGTACTAGGATCCCGATTGCTCCTGACATGGCGATGATTGAAGTGAGCCTGTTCATAGGGTTAAAGAGTAAATGACCAAAAATCACTGACACAGTACTAAATACACTTTATAGGAAAAGCCTTTAAGGACTCCAAAAGCTGACCCATTGCATCTCCCAGAAATATACCATTTGGCTAGAATTTGTATATATCTCTAAAAATAATTAACAAGATTACCTTGTTCATTCATGCCTCATTTAATTTATCCTGGATTCCCAATTTGAATAAAATAACCAATCAATTAAAGTTTCAGTCACTATAATATAATTAACCATGATTCTTCAAACATAGGCTGCTCTCAAATCTCTACTACAGTATGCTTGTTAATCCAAGTGATACTATTGCCATTCAATGCAGTCAGCCACTTCTTAGGTTGACATGGCAGATTTTGCCATCCACTCCATCCTCCCATGGCAAGGGATGAAGAGGGGGTGAGTATGGATATCATTAAGCAATTATTTTCCAGAAATCAAGAGAGGGCTGTTAGCAGAAAATTAATTCTGGCTTATTTTCCAAGGTAATTCAAGATAATTTCATTACAATATTCATTTCATACAATGTATGTTTCATTGCAAGTTTTATCAGGTATTAAACACAGTCATAGGAGAAGAGTTTGATAGCCACTCATTTAATTTGGAGTCACTTGCAGGTTCCAGAGCTGTAACAATTTTTTCCATTACAAAATCAAGTACACAGATGAATTTCTACTTCTCCTTAACCTTGTAACTACCAGAACCAAGATATTCATATACTTAACCCTTTTAGTGGTATGCCCAAGAAATTCTCAAGCTTCTCTCATAGTGAGAAAGAAAATCTGCCATTGAAGGGGTTAAGTCTTTGTTTCATCTCTTTATTCCCAAAGAATCTCTTCAAAATACCTTTGCCTAATTAGGGTATAACTACTTAAGTTTGGACAGTACCTAAGTTCCAACACTGCTGCAAACATTGTTACAAAACTAAGCATTTGTTTGCAAAACTAAGCACCTTCAGAAATGATTCTTCCTAACAAGAGATGAACACATTACTGAGCGAAGGAAAAGCAGTGGTCATCATGACTTTGCACGATTCCAAGATATTGGGTTTAGGCTAATGCTATATCGTAAACAGGAGGAATTCTTCAAGAAACCGTAAGAAGAGAACCTTACTTTTAAAACGTTTCACATGTGACTTTTTTGTTTTCTGTGCTCAATTCTTCCTTCCCGGGAGACTAGGACATGGAGTCCTGTTACACAGAATGCACATGCTTTGATCTGATTATTGTCTTACTTTCAGTGTGTCTGAACTTAGGTCAAGAAATGTTTGAGAAACTTAAGTTTGGACATACATTCATGTGTGTCATATCTGCAGAAATATGACATCCTCTTGAAATAAAGAATGTTTAGAGTTGACGAAAGCTCAGTTGAGTCATGCTTTTCAGAGAACATGTATTTTTGAGCTCTGTCTGAACTTTCATAACAGGACATGTAACTTCAGACACCATCGAGCACATGTGAAAAAATACAACTTCATATATCTATTTGCACACCCAAGTGTGCGGTGTGCCTCCAAAGAAATGGTAGGAGGTTGGAATGCATGGGATTATTGATCCAAGGGTGCTGAAAAGGCCATCAGGGCCTTAATTCAGGTGAGATGTCCTTGCGGAAGGTCAACAATGCTTATGATGAACATGTCTGCTGGATACTTTTTTTTTTCTAGGAGTTCTACCTCCAAATTCAGAGCAGGGATGTGTCCCTGAAGTAATATGTTTTCTGAATTAAGCATGCAGAGAAATACTTGTCTACTGAACAAACTGTGCCAGTCTGTTCTGCTTAAAAATAATTTCTGACAACATGACCCTAATGAATAATGTGCACCCAAGGGATTATCTGTAAGAGTAAGATTTTTCCAGAAATTAGCGAATGGACGTACAAAATTCCAGGTTTCTATATCCTTCACCACCCAATTCAATGTAGCAAAACATATTTTAAAATATGGCTCCTCCCAAATGTACCCCAAGAAGATATCTCCCAGAAGCAGGATTTCCCCTTATGACTACATACCAACATGTACCTAATTAGTAAGGTTTTAGCCTTTCGTCTACATGATACCCTGGAACAAAATATTTTCTTGGGAAAGGTCCACCCCAAAAAATATGCCACTGGGAATGAATCCTAAAAGTAGCTTTTCCCCCCCTGAAATCTGCACCTCAATAAGTTTCAGCTTCTGTCTCTCCGTTTCATTGGAGCAAAGAAATTTATGGAGATATATCTCTCCCAAATACAAGTACCTGAAATCCACATCATCAGAGTAATTTGTGTAGACCTACCAAGTTCGAACTTTAATCTCATCTAAAACATGATTAGAATTAAAAGTCAGTCACTGACTCACTCAATCACGATCATCCTATACTAGAAAATAGAGGAAAGATCCAATACTTATTGTGGGGAGCAGGTTATCATTCCTTCACATCAAAATGAAGTGTTTCAAACCTTTTTGAGACTTTAAAAGAGGGGTGTCTGAACTAAGATGAAAGTGCCTGAACTTAATTTTTCCTGCATCTAAGTTTAGACATCCTCATTGTGGGTAATATCAGTAGTCATAAGGGTAGGCAGGACATCTTTATAACACTCAGACCTCCTAGTGTCATGCTCCCAGGAGCAAAAAATGAAGCTCCCAGCTTGTACTGTTGAGATGGTACAAGTGAATGATGAGGCTTGGCCAGCTTAACTTTATGAACATCAGGGGTTTTACCCTACTATTACATGTTTTCATGAAAATACATGGAGTATCAGACTTTACAAGTTCATGGCACAACTTACACAAATGGTTAAATTTTTGTATCAGAGTCAATTAGACCCAGAACAGTAGTTAGAAGGTTGATGCAGTGTTCCATACACTTATGCCAAGCCACATCTGGAAGTTTTAATTGCCTGACTAAATTCAACTAACTTCCTCCAATCTTGGGGTGGTTTTATATTCCTCTTTCTCGAATCATCAGGACACTCAATGGTACCTGAGAAACTCTACGAAGATGTTTCCCTGGACCCAAATTACTTGAAAAAAATTGCAAATGTAAGTTGATTAGGAGCTGATATGCCATGACCTGAGCCTCCATATCATGAAAGATCAAAGGAGACTGTAGATTGAGAAAGGTAACTTGCACTGAGGTGACTCTTGCAGCAAATCACTGAAAACCTTTTTTTTTTATTTCCCCATTAGTGAGACAGATAATTAAGTCATGACGGAAAAAAGTACATTTGTAATCATGTACATGACAGTGTCATTAGTGCATTGTTCCTTTGAGAGTAAGCTGGAAGAGTGGCCTGACTATAGCTATGATCAGCCAACTGTTGAAAATAAAATGCTTCCATCATACTATTCCGTTACAAATGACACAACCTTTCACTGTCTCAACAGCTTTATATTCCATCTGGTAGATTCAAAGATGGAATTACTTGCAATTTAAAATTTTAATAATAAAATAATCTATGCAGCCTATGATTTCAAAGTAGCATGAAGTCATATAGGTGAGGTGACAAACCTGGAGGTCCCTAGGAGACATGTATGTCCTCCTGCATCCAGATGTTCCATAACGTGTGCCTCCATGAGTGCACATATAAATGGAGCCCAAGCCAGCATGTTCAATTCTGTCAACCTTCTCCTTACATCGCCCACAAAAATGCTTCTCCTTCTGACTGCATGCCAGGCAAAAGACATGCTTGCAGGGGATCTGTGCAAAATGATATTCTTTCACTTGTCTTCAACAGACTCAGAAAAAATTACCAAGAGAAAACTCTGAAAACAACTTGCCATGCGTCCATAGATCAGGATGGGACGGAAGCACTTCCCACAGCAATGAATCATGGGATTGAGGACTTTCTCTCCAATGAGGTTGATGCGATGGTCCCAAGACAATGCTTTCATGGCTTCTGTGATCTTTCCTCGATCCAGCATGCTGAACGATGCCACTTCTTCCAGAAGCACATCATCCATTTCAATAATACTACCTTTATGTGAAAAAAAGTTTTCCCAGGTTATTTATTGATACTATGATGAAGTAAAAAACCAAGGAAGACCCACCCTCATTGGCTTCCTGTGGTTCTTCCTGCTGCAGCTGCTCATCATCACCAACTTCATAGAGGTCCTCTTCATCCTTGAACCCAGATATTGAAATATTAAGGTCATATTTAGCCTCATTAGTGTAGGCAAATCACTTGTTGAGTCTTCTCAAGCTATGACAGGTTTGGATATATGCTTTCTCAAAAAAATCAATTAGAATAAAAATCACAATTCTTTCACATGGCTCACAATAACAGTAACTCAAAGCATACAGACTGACCTTGACTTTACGGCGAACATTTCGAGATCCACCGCTCTTGCTTTTAGTCCGACCTCTTCCACGCCCCCGGGGTCGTCCTCGACCTCGGCTACGTGCCTCTTCCATTCCAGGAGGCTACACTCTTACTTAACAAACTTAACAGCCAATAGGGAATACATGAAGCAAAATCAAAGTTGAGACTAGACATTAAAATCATATCTCTTCTAACAATGTTATGTAGTAACAACAGGTTGGCAAGAACATTGGTGAACTGGGCAAGGTACTGCCAAGAGCAATATGAGAGTTGCTCTCACCATAGCAGGATTAACAAGATGACTTTGAACAACCAAGAGGAAAAAAATACAAGCTCTAAGTAGGACAAACCAATAAAATGTTGAATGATCTGGCAGGGTACTGCTTTCCCTGCTTATTTGTGGTGAATGACATAAAAGGTCTGCAGCCTGAGGGATGAATATAGAAGGGAGGGGAGGGGGGGGATGGTGGTGGTGGAGAGTTCAATCCGTACTCCTTTCTTGGAATATCCAAAACCCATCACTCCACTACCTAATTAGACAGCCAAGTAGCCCTAGTTTGTATTGGAAATACTGAATCTAAACTGCAAAATGGTTGGAATAGGTTTGTAAGTCTCTATGAATTTGGCTGGGGATAATAATTAAGCACAAAAATAACAAAACCTATTAATGGCCCAGTGCATACAAGAGCATAAACCCTACCAGCATAATGTTTGCAGTCAACATGCTAAAAGATTGTTACTGGGTCAGGATTTTTTAATATCACAAGCTCTCAGCTTCCTGGTTTTCTGCTACTTCTGACCATTTGATTTGCCAAACTGTGGGGAATAAGTCCATAGGTATTGATCTAGCTGTATTTTAGGAGCGCATAATTGTCAGGGTCTCCTTAGGAACACAATTATTAAATGGAATATGATAAGATATATTACAGGGTGTCCGAAAATTAATCACCTCATTTGTTTTGCTTGTAACTTTTCAACTAATAGAAAAAAACACAAACTGTAAACGACAAATATTAGTTTAATTCAATAAGTTTTTCATCTTCAAGTTCTAAAGATAACATCTAACAAGTGTCCTCCGTTACAGAGCTGACAGATTCGAGCCCTTTCTACGGAATGCTCCATGACTCTACCCAGATTTTCTTGTGGTATAGCGGCTATTTCGGCTCGAATGTTTTGCTTGAGTTCTTGCAGAGTTACTGGTTTGTTGATGAACACTTTTGCCTTTAGATAACCCCATAAAAAAAAGTCCGGGGCCGTCAAATCCGGTGAACGCGCTGGCCAATTTAAATCTCCATATTTCGAGATTATGCGGTTCGGGAAAATTTCCCTCAATAAGTCCATTGTCATGCGAGCTGTGTGTGCTGTGGCACCATCCTGTTGGAACCACATGTCCTCCAGGGCTAGCCTATCCAGCTCGGGTACCAAAAAGTCCTGTATCATTACTCTATAGCGGTCACCATTAACTGTAACTGCATTTCCAAGCTCATCTTCGAAGAAATATGGCCCTAGGACGTTTTGGGACGTCACCCCACACCAAACTGTTACCTTACATGGGTGCAATGAACTCGAATGAATTGCCCTAGGGTTTGCATTTCCCCAGAACCGGCAGTTTTGCTTATTGACCGAACCATTTAGCTCAAAGTGAGCTTCGTCCGACATCAATAATTTTGAAGAAAAATTGATGATTTCAGCATCAAGATTTAATAGCGCTTCGGAGTAAGTAAGACGTGGTTGAGTATCAGCTGGCAATAGTTCTTGAACCATCTGTATCTTGTAAGGGAACAGACTCAAATCGGTGTGCATTATTGTGTGCAGGGATGATCTTGGGATACCCAACTGTCCGGAACGTCTTCTTAAGGATGCTTCTGGAACTTGTTGCACACTTTCATTAACAAGCGCAATGTTTTCCAAGGACCGACTTGTTCGGGGTCTCCCTGTATGCCTCCGATCACCAGTGGTTCCCGACTGCTCAAATCGAGCCACTAACCGCCGAATGGTCTGAGCAGTAGGCGCA